CTCTCTGGAGCCTCAGACTCTCTCTGGAGCCTCAGACCCTCTCTCTCTAGAGCCTCAGACCCTCTCTCTCTGGAGCCTCAGACCCTCTCTCTCTGGGGCCTCAGACTCTCTCTCTCTGGAGCCTCAGACCCTCTCTCCCTGGGGCCTCAGACTCTCTCTCTCTGGAGCCTCAGACCCTCTCTCTCTGTGGGCCTCAGACCCTCTCTCTCTGGGGCCTCAGACTCTCTCTCTCTCTGGAGCCTCAGACTCTCTCTGGAGCCTCAGACCCTCTCTCTCTGGAGCCTCAGACTCTCTCTGGAGCCTCAGACCCTCTCTCTCTAGAGCCTCAGACTCTCTCTCTCTGGGGCCTCAGACCCTCTCTCTCTGGGGCCTCAGACCCTCTCTCTCTGGAGCCTCAGACCCTCTCTCTCTGGAGCCTCAGACTCTCTCTCTGGAGCCTCAGACCCTCTCTCTCTGGAGCCTCAGACCCTTTCTCTCTGGAGCCTCAGACCTTTTCTCTCTGGAGCCTCAGACCCTCTCTCTGGAGCCTCAGACCCTCTCTCTGGAGCCTCAGACCCTCTCTCTCTGGAGCCTCAGACCCTCTCTCTCTGGAGCCTCAGACCCTCTCTCTCTGGAGCCTCATATCCTCTCTCTCTGGGGCCTCAGACCCTCTCTCTCTGGAGCCTCAGACTCTCTCTCTGGAGCCTCATATCCTCTCTCTCTGGAGCCTCAGACCCTCTCTCTCTGGAGCCTCAGACCCTTTCTCTCTGGAGCCTCATATCCTCTCTCTCTGGAGCCTCAGACTCTCTCTCTGGAGCCTCAGACCCTCTCTCTCTGGAGCCTCAGACCCTTTCTCTCTGGAGCCTCAGACCTTTTCTCTCTGGAGCCTCAGACCCTCTCTCTGGAGCCTCAGACCCTCTCTCTGGAGCCTCAGACCCTCTCTCTCTGGAGCCTCATATCCTCTCTCTCTGGGGCCTCAGACCCTCTCTCTCTGGAACCTCAGACCCTATCTCTCTGGAGCCTCATATCCTCTCTCTCTGGGGCCTCAGACCCTCTCTCTCTGGAGCCTCAGACTCTCTCTCTGGAGCCTCAGACCCTCTCTCTCTGGAGCCTCAGACCCTCTCTCTCTGGAGCCTCAGACTCTCTCTCTGGAGCCTCAGACCCTCTCTCTCTGGAGCCTCAGACCCTCTCTCTCTGGAGCCTCAGACCCTCTCTCTCTGGAGCCTCAGACCCTCTCTCTCTGGAGCCTCAGACCCTCTCTCTCTGGAGCCTCATATCCTCTCTCTCTGGGGCCTCAGACCCTCTCTCTCTGGAACCTCAGACCCTATCTCTCTGGAGCCTCAGACTCTCTCTCTGGAGCCTCAGACTCTCTCTCTGGAGCCTCAGACCCTCTCTCTCTGGAGCCTCAGACCCTTTCTCTCTGGAGCCTCAGACCTTTTCTCTCTGGAGCCTCAGACCCTCTCTGGAGCCTCAGCCCTCTGGAGCCTCAGACCCTCTCTCTGGAGCCTCAGACCCTCTCTCTCTGGAGCCTCAGACCCTCTCTCTCTGGAGAGACCCTCTCTCTCTGGAGCCTCAGACCTCTCTCTCTGGAGCCTCAGACTCTCTCTCTGGAGCCTCATATCCTCTCTCTCTGGGGCCTCAGACCCTCTCTCTCTGGAACCTCAGACCCTATCTCTCTGGAGCCTCAGACTCTCTCTCTGGAGCCTCAGACCCTCTCTCTCTGGAGCCTCAGACCCTTTCTCTCTGGAGCCTCAGACCTTTTCTCTCTGGAGCCTCAGACCCTCTCTCTGGAGCCTCAGACCCTTTCTCTCTGGAGCCTCAGACCTTTTCTCTCTGGAGCCTCAGACCCTCTCTCTGGAGCCTCAGACCCTCTCTCTGGAGCCTCAGACCCTCTCTCTCTGGAGCCTCAGACCCTCTCTCTCTGGAGCCTCAGACCCTCTCTCTCTGGAGCCTCAGACCCTCTCTCTCTGGAGCCTCAGACCCTCTCTCTGGAGCCTCAGACCCTCTCTCTCTGGAGCCTCAGACCCTCTCTCTGAGACTCTCTCTGGAGCCTCAGACCTTTCTCTGGAGCCTCAGACCCTCTCTCTGGAGCTCAGACCCTCTCTCTCTGGAGCCTCAGACCTCTCTCTCTGGAGCCTCAGACCCTCTCTCTCTGGAGCCTCAGACCCTCTCTCTCTGGAGCCTCAGACCCTCTCTCTCTGGAGCCTCAGACCCTCTCTCTCTGGAGCTCCTCTACTGTCTCCTTTACCCTCAGACCCTCTCTCTCTCTCACTACTGTCTCCTTTACCCTCAGACCCTCTCCTCTCTCTCTACTGTCTCCTTTACCCTCAGACCCTCTCCTCTCTCTCTACTGTCTCCTTTACCCTCAGACCCTCTCCTCTCTCACTACTGTCTCCTTTACCTTCAGACCCTCTCCTCTCTCTCTACTGTCTCCTTTACCCTCAGACCCTCTCCTCTCTCTCTACTGTCTCCTTTACCCTCAGACCCTCTCCTCTCTCACTACTGTCTCCTTTACCCTCAGACCCTCTCCTCTCTCACTACTGTCTCCTTTACCCTCAGACCCTCTCCTCTCTCTCTACTGTCTCCTTTACCCTCAGACCCTCTCCTCTCTCTCTACTGTCTCCTTTACCCTCAGACCCTCTCCTCTCTCACTACTGTCTCCTTTACCTTCAGACCCTCTCCTCTCTCACTACTGTCTCCTTTACCTTCAGACCCTCTCCTCTCTCACTACTGTCTCCTTTACCTTCAGACCCTCTCCTCTCACTACTGTCTCCTTTACCTTCAGACCCTCTCCTCTCTCTCTACTGTCTCCTTTACCTTCAGATCCTCTCCTCTCTCTCTACTGTCTCCTTTACCTTCAGACCCTCTCCTCTCTCTACTGTCTCCTTTACCTTCAGACCCTCTCCTCTCTCACTACTGTCTCCTTTACCTTCAGACCCTCTCCTCTCTCTACTGTCTTCTTTACCTTCAGACCCTCTCCTCTCTCTACTGTCTCCTTTACCTTCAGACCCTGTCCTCTCTCTACTGTCTCCTTTACCTTCAGACCCTGTCCTCTCTCTACTGTCTCCTTTACCTTCAGACCCTCTCCTCTCTCTACTGTCTCCTTTACCTTCAGACCCTCTCCTCCCTCTACTGTCTCCTTTACCTTCAGACCCTCTCCTCTCTCACTACTGTCTCCTTTACCTTCAGACCCTCTCCTCTCTCTACTGTCTCCTTTACCTTCAGACCCTCTCCTCCCTCTACTGTCTCCTTTACCTTCAGACTCTCTCCTCTCTCACTACTGTCTCCTTTTCCTTCAGACCCTCTCCTCTCACTACTGTCTCCTTTTCCTTCAGACTCTCTCCTCTCTCACTACTGTCTCCTTTTCCTTCAGACTCTCTCTCTACTGTCTCCTTTACCTTCAGACTCTCTCCTCTCTCACTACTGTCTCCTTTACCTTCAGACTCTCTCACTACTGTCTCCTTTACCTTCAGACCCTCTCCTCTCTCTACTGTCTCCTTTACCTTCAGACCCTCTCCTCTCTCTACTGTCTCCTTTACCTTCAGACCCTCTCCTCTCTCTACTGTCTCCTTTACCTTCAGACCCTCTCCTCTCTCTACTGTCTCCTTTACCTTCAGACCCTCTCCTCTCACAACTGTCTTCTTTACCTTCAGACCCTCTCCTCTCTCACTACTGTCTCCTTTACCCTCAGACCCTCTCCTCTCTCACTACTGTCTCCTTTACCCTCAGACCCTCTCCTCTCACTTCTGTCTTCTTTACCTTCAGACCCTCTCCTCTCTCACTACTGTCTTCTTTACCTTCAGACCCTCTCCTCTCTCTCTACTGTCTCCTTTACCTTCAGACCCTCTCCTCTCTCTACTGTCTCCTTTACCTTCAGACCCTCTCCTCTCTCACTACTGTCTCCTTTACCTTCAGACCCTCTCCTCTCTCTCTACTGTCTCCTTTACCTTCAGACCCTCTCCTCTCTCTACTGTCTCCTTTTCCTTCAGACCCTCTCCTCTCTCACTACTGTCTCCTTTACCTTCAGACTCTCTCCTCTCTCTACTGTCTCCTTTTCCTTCAGACTCTCTCTCTACTGTCTCCTTTACCTTCAGACCCTCTCCTCTCTCTACTGTCTTCTTTACCTTCAGACCCTCTCCTCTCTCTCTACTGTCTCCTTTACCTTCAGACTCTCTCCTCTCTCTACTGTCTCCTTTTCCTTCAGACTCTCTCACTACTGTCTCCTTTACCTTCAGACCCTCTCCTCTCACTTCTGTCTCCTTTACCCTCAGACCCTCTCCTCTCTCACTACTGTCTCCTTTACCCTCAGACCCTCTCCTCTCACTTCTGTCTCCTTTACCCTCAGACCCTCTCCTCTCACACTACTGTCTCCTTTACCTTCAGACCCTCTCCTCTCTCTCTACTGTCTCCTTTACCTTCAGACCCTCTCCTCTCTCTCTACTGTCTCCTTTACCTTCAGACCCTCTCCTCTCTCTCTACTGTCTCCTTTACCTTCAGATCCTCTCCTCTCTCTACTGTCTCCTTTACCTTCAGACCCTCTCCTCTCTCACTACTGTCTCCTTTACCTTCAGACCCTCTCCTCTCTCTACTGTCTCCTTTACCTTCAGACCCTCTCCTCTCTCACTACTGTCTCCTTTACCTTCAGACCCTCTCCTCCCTCTACTGTCTCCTTTACCTTCAGACCCTCTCCTCTCACTACTGTCTCCTTTACCTTCAGACCCTCTCCTCTCTCTACTGTCTCCTTTTCCTTCAGACTCTCTCCTCTCTCACTACTGTCTTCTTTACCTTCAGATCCTCTCCTCTCTCACTACTGTCTCCTTTACCCTCAGACCCTCTCCTCTCACTTCTGTCTCCTTTACCCTCAGACCCTCTCCTCTCACTTCTGTCTCCTTTACCCTAGACCCTCTCCTCTCACTACTGTCTCCTTTACCTTCAGACCCTCTCCGCTCTCACTACTGTCTCCTTTACCTTCAGACCCTCTCCTCTCTCTACTGTCTCCTTTACCTTCAGACCCTCTCCTCCCTCTACTGTCTCCTTTACCTTCAGACCCTCTCCTCTCTCACTACTGTCTCCTTTACCTTCAGACCCTCTCCTCTCTCTACTGTCTCCTTTACCTTCAGACCCTCTCCTCCCTCTACTGTCTCCTTTACCTTCAGACCCTCTCCTCTCTCACTACTGTCTCCTTTACCTTCAGACTCTCTCCTCTCTCACTACTGTCTCCTTTACCTTCAGACTCTCTCCTCTCTCACTACTGTCTCCTTTACCTTCAGACTCTCTCACTACTGTCTCCTTTACCTTCAGACCCTCTCCTCTCTCTCTACTGTCTCCTTTACCTTCAGACCCTCTCCTCTCTCTACTGTCTCCTTTACCTTCAGACCCTCTCCTCTCTCTACTGTCTCCTTTACCTTCAGACCCTCTCCTCTCACTACTGTCTTCTTTACCTTCAGACCCTCTCCTCTCTCACCACTGTCTTCTTTACCTTCAGACCCTCTCCTCTCTCACTACTGTCTCCTTTACCCTCAGACCCTCTCCTCTCACTTCTGTCTTCTTTACCTTCAGACCCTCTCCTCTCTCACTACTGTCTCCTTTACCTTCAGACCCTCTCCTCTCTCTCTACTGTCTCCTTTACCTTCAGACCCTCTCCTCTCTCTACTGTCTCCTTTACCTTTAGACCCTCTCCTCTCTCACTACTGTCTCCTTTACCTTCAGACCCTCTCCTCTCTCACTTCTGTCTTCTTTACCTTCAGACCCTCTCCTCTCTCACTACTGTCTCCTTTACCTTCAGACCCTCTCCTCTCTCTCTACTGTCTCCTTTACCTTCAGACCCTCTCCTCTCTCTACTGTCTTCTTTACCTTCAGACCCTCTCCTCTCTCACTACTGTCTCCTTTACCTTCAGACCCTCTCCTCTCTCTACTGTCTCCTTTACCTTCAGACCCTCTCCTCTCTCACTACTGTCTCCTTTACCTTCAGACCCTCTCCTCTCTCTACTGTCTCCTTTACCTTCAGACCCTCTCCTCTCTCACTACTGTCTTCTTTACCTTCAGACCCTCTCCTCTCTCTACTGTCTCCTTTACCTCTAACATAACATATATACAAAATGATATGTGTTTGCCGTGTTGGCCTTTGCCACAGTCTGCCTGCAGGGGGCAGCACTGCACAGTAAATAAAGGATGATGACATCACACGGGGCTTTGATTCCTCACGCACCACAGAGAGTATATTTGGAAACATTCTCTGGGAAGAGAGTCAAAAGAACAAACAAACTACAGTTTGAATCAGTGAAACATTAGAAAGTATGTTGTATTCTATTGCCTGCATGTGAAAGCCAGGTCCCATCAAACCTCTGAAGCTGTGCAGGGCAGAGCCTGGTTAGTGCTGTGATGGGAGACCTCTGGGAACACCAGGTGCCACAGTGGGGCGGCTGCGGCTGTAAAGGGCCAAACTGTTGTTGGGCAAGACACTTCACCAACATTGCCTATAAGTCTGATGTGTGTGTGTGTGTGTGAATGGCTGGTGGTGGTAGGAGAGGCCGATGGCACATACCGGTTCCCTGGCCTCTGTCAGTGTGCCCCAGGGCAGCTGTGGCTACAATAGTAGTTTATGTGAAGCATCTTGAATGTCCTGAAAAGCGTGGTATAAAACTGAGGTATTATTGTTTATATTATTCTAAGGGCAGTTCCTTTCACAAACCTGCTTTAAGAGTGACTTAATTCATTCAGGTCTGCCCCAGGGCAGCTGTGGCTACAGTAGTAGTTCATCACCAATGTGTATGCATTGAAAGAATAGTAGTAAGTAAGGTTTATTTACACAGCGCCTTTCACAAAAGAATGGGAAACCAGAGTACCCGCAGGAAACCTATGCAAACAAGTGGAGAACATACAAACTCCAATCAGAAGGGCCCTGTTCCAACCGGGATTCGAACCCAGGACATTCTTGCTGAGAAGCGAGAGTGCTAACCACTTAGCCACCTTGATCTCCCATAATGAGTCGTGAAGCAATTTCTCCTACGGGGATCAATAAAGTATCTATCTATATATATTAAACAATGCATTTGTTTTACTTCAACACTTTTCTTTAAAATATGTGTCAATATTTTAAAAGATTATTGCTTCATGTTTCTGTTTTTAAATGTAGTTTTATTTAGTACGTCCTGGATCTACAGCCTCAGTCCTGGATCTTCAGCCTCTGTCCTGGATCTACAGCCTCAGTCTTGGGTCTACAGCCTGAGTCCTGGATCTACAGCCTCAGTCTTGGGTCTAAAGCCTCAGTCCTGGATCTAGCGCTTGTCCGTCTGTCGGAGTGGATAATATAGGCCTTCCAGGTTTCTCTTTTTTTTTCACTGGGTTCTTTGGGTTGTTCTCTGCCGATGCAGGAGGGTCTAAGGACAGTGATAACCAGGGACAAATATTTATGGACTAACATTTCTGGACACTGGTCATCCTGCTCCCTTTGGACCAATGGCTCCTATCTGTTTGTTATCATTGCATTTCCTCCTGCTGGAAGCCATGGTAACCAAGGACTTCCCACGGAAACGGTTTGTTGTGGATAGGTTGCAAGTATATGGTACAAGACACTACTGCTGGTGGAAACAGAACCAACATACTTTTGTGCGTTTTTAGCCGCTACACCGGACAGAACCATAACCAGGTCTGTGATGTGACTACAGCTGCTCTCCGCGCTGTGAAATCCTCCCAAAGTATTGAACTACAGCCGAGGATCTGTTGGTTTCCGTGCGCGACATTCATTACAAGGCGCTTCACGTGACGTCAGCAGCGGCAGCAGCGAGACGCGTCTGTCAGTGCGCATGAGGAGCACACAGCGGCGGTGGCTCCAGCTCCAGCTCCAGCTCTCCTCCACCTCCTCCCGCCTCCTGCACACTTCTCCCGGATACAGCAGCAGCAGCAGCAGCAGCAGCAGCAGCAGTCTCATCCTTGACACTTTCTTTTCTCACATTTGAAGATGACATTCTAAGAGCCACATTCGCTCCATGGCTCCGCTGCGCACTGCTTTCTGCGTGTTTTCTGACGCGCGGGATCGACAAAGTTTGACTGCCGCTCTTTGCAGCTTGTGAGAGGAGACCACCGCTCCGACCACCGCTCCGACCACCGCTCCGACCATCACTTCGATCATCGCTCCGACGTCGATCTGTTCCTATTGGATTTTACGCGCGCACCGCTTGAACCGAAAGCAATCGCCATGTCTGGATTACGCTCTGTTACTTGAGTTTTTTTCTTTTTGGTGGAACAGTGAGCGACAGCCCGATGGGAGTATACCTCGAGGACTAAACATTTTTGGGTCAGAAATGTGGATAAATGCGGCTGACGCGCGCAGGTAAGAGGCTTTCGCTTGTGTTTAGTAATGAATCGTCTCTTGATGCCACAGCGCGACTGATAAGGCTGTTTTTCTCATGAGAAGTGTCATTATTATTCATCTACGCCACAGCTTTGAAGTTAACTACACAAGTGTGGCTCGGGTGAATGGATGTTTGTGACGGTGTGGTGCCCATTTTACGCGTAAACGAAGACTAACGCCATTTGTCACTCAAGTCTTTGAGATCTTCCGTGTGGGAAAGATGTAATTTGATGTGTCGAAAAGCAGAGGGAAGTTGTGTGCGGGTGTGGCGTCGCTAGGTGGCGCTCTAAGCACGCCACAAGCGGCGGCAGCAGACATGGAGCTCCACTGTAGGCGCAAAAAGTGACATTATTGATGGATACGAGACGGACATACGCGGCTACAGTTAAACCACATTAGCGCAATAATGTATTTAATCTATATTTTCTCTCATGTAAAAAGTTGCTTTACTCACTGTAGTCAATTTAATATTTTTACATAGCCCTAAACCACCACAGCAGTCGTCTGGGATGAACAAAGTTGTCGATCCACCATCAATAGACCAGAGAATCAAACAGTTTTTACACTGGAAATGCAATAATAACAAATACATAGAAGACATTAGTCCACCGGGAGCGGGACGACCACGGTCCAGAAATGTTCATAAATGTCCTTAAATGTTTCGGATCATCAATGTCCCTAGTCCACACATTGAGAGAGGGATCTGCACCCATGGACGGACAGGCTGTAGACCCAGGACTGAGGCTGTAGAATCAAGACTGAGGCTGTAGACCCAGGACTGAGGCTGTAGAATCAAGACTGAGGCTGTAGACCCAGGACTGAGGCTGTAGACCCAGGACTGAAGCTGTAGATCCAGGACTGAGGCTGTAGACCCAGGACTGAGGCTGTAGTCCCAGGACTGAGGCTGTAGATCTAGGACTGAGGGTGTAGATCCAGGACTGACGCTGTAGACCCAGGACTGAGGCTGTAGAAAATTTTAGTGACTGTCAGTATTTGCACATATGAAGCTGCAATTGTCTTCCACAGAGTTAAATCCAGGGACATTACGATGAGAAAGAAGTGGAGATCTGAAGCTTCCTTTGTGTCCGCTCAGTTTTTTTTGCCTTGAAAGAAAACACTGCTCTTTGTGGTGTTTGGATGAAGCCATTTTCTAACAAACAACAAACACAAATATTCCATTTTTAATCAGCTCCAGCCACACGTAGAGCGCGGCGTCTGCTGGAGGACCACAAGACGAACGGCGAGGCAAGCTTATTTGTAGAGCACAGTTCATATAAGACAACACCCAATGCCGAATTAAAGAAGAAAAGAAACATTAAAATCACACAAGGCTTTACAATATATCCTAAATAATCACAGAACATTAGACGTGAACATTGTCAGAGGAGAAGCAGTGAAAGGTCGTCACAGTCGAACCTCCAGGAGACAAAGGAGAAGAAGAATCTGAGTCTGTTTCTCAATCAGAGCGAAATGGAAATGTTTGTTTGTGGCAGTGATAGAAATGATGAAGACTGCGGCAGACAACGTTTTCAATTATTATTATTCATTTGCAGCATTGATATATAAGCTGTTACTATGGCAACCATGGCATGTTTGACCTCATTTTAAAGCTTAGTTAAAAAACATGTAATTTTCATATGCCGATTTTGCCATTTGCGGTCGCTTGGCAGTTAAAGACCCTTTTCTCAAAAGGTGCTGGTCCTGGACTAGTCCTGGTTCTGGTTTTCCCGCAGAGCAGAGAAAGTGTAGTTACCATAGCAACGCACTGCAACATTTAGCCTTTGATAGCCTTTCACCAAACTGGTTTTTGTGGTATTTCAAGAGATATTCACAAGTTTTAGCACTTATTAATGTGAATAAAGATATAACACCTTAAAATTCCTTATTTTAAGGTGTTATATCACGGACACACGCACACACATGAACAAGCTGGAGCCAATTTCCTTTAATGGCCTTTAGTTCCGACGGTGCTTTACTTAGCTTCAGATATGGTGCTGAGACGATTGCTAAGGCAAGCTGTGTGCGTGTGTGTGTGTGTGTGCGTGTGTGTGTGTGTGCGTACTCTGACTGTTGATCGGTGGTCAGTGTTGTGCAGACTGGACTAACGTTAGCAGAGTCGGAAGAGAACATTGTCTTGTACAGAGATTGTTGCACGTTTGAGTCCTGTAACTGTTGCCAAGACAGGTCTATTTTGAGAATGTTACAAAGACAGCAATTATTCATGATTGTGTCACTGAGCAACGAGAAAAAAAGGCAAGTCTGTCATTGTCTTTTCTGCCTCACATAAAAGACACATGAGACACAAGCATCATTTTGAGCTAGTGTAACATTGTTCCTCATCAAAAACAGGCCTGGACTTGGTTTTAGCTTCGTCCTGCCCCTTCACCTTCCTCCTGAGTTAGACCGGTTTTAGACCTGATTTGAACTTGATTTTGACTTGTTGTAGATCTGGTTTGGATTGGTGTGTATATAATTCTATGAACTAACCAAGTTGAGGCTGAACAAACAGCTGCTGAAAGCATTATCTCCGGTCCCTGCAGTCAGCCAGGCTCTTCAGCACCACGGACAGCTCCAGTCAGATCAGTGAAGACATTTGAGATCCCTGGCCTGTAGTCCAGTTTAAATGGATAGAACTAAACTCACGCAGAGCCAGGCAGATGGTGAGAGCACGAGTTTGTGTGACGACTGAGACGAGATGGGCAGATGCATGTAAGTGTCCAGGAAACACTCACAGCCCCAAAAGTGAAAGTGTGAGGGTGTCGTGCTCAGATCCACCATATCCAGAGGAGACTGTTGTGTCGTACAAGTTTAGCTTGTGCTCATTTGGACAGAACTGTTTCTCTGTCAAAGCAGCAGGGGCCTGAGACTCCCCCACCCCTTCAGTCTGTGAGGGAGTGGAGCTCACTGGGAGCATTAAATTCAGACATTAAGACATGGTTCAAAGATAATCAAATGTGCAGGTATTATGCAGATTGTGTGTTGTATATATTTATGTCTCTTTTTTAACCTGTATTAAATGCAGCCTGCATTTCATATTCTATTATTCAATTAAATGCTATAATACCATTCCATGAATTCATTTCTGGCAGACTGTAAACCTGGTGTCACTTTGCCTCTGCTCAGGATCTACAGATGGAAATTATCTCGCTGCTATGTGCAGTCTAAACCGTACATTTATTGTGCAACAAACCTGTCAAGTAACTAACTAAGCAACTACAACAAAAAACAAAAATATGTTGAAGATAGGTGAAAATCACAGGCTCAAAGTTAAAGAAGCGTCTTGACTATAGCCCCGTTTCCACCAGACCAACTTGGCTCTACTCTACTCTGCTCTCTTTTGATTGGGAGTGTTTCCACCGGCCCTGTTTAACCGGTGCCAGGTCTTTCCTCACTCCCTCTTGGTCCTGGTTCTATCCAGGCCGAACTGTTACTAAAGTGTTCTAACCGACAGTGATTGGCCAGAGTGCTGCTGGAAGACATGGCTACCAAGGAACGTCCCTGGTTACTGGTTTGTCATGGGTAGGCTGCAAGGGTATGATACCAGATCCTAAAGTGTTGCAGATACGCATCCAGGTAGAGCAGAGTAGGACTGGTGGAAACAGGGCTTCTGTTTGCCAAAGTCTGCTGTGACAATAAAGTGTTTTTGTGACTGAATGTGATCAAAAACATAAAAAAAACACTTTTTAAATACGTTTTTATTGAATATCATTAATAATCAGAGAATAATGTGACAACCTCTTAGATGCTCCTCTTCTGTTGAGGTTCAGCACCACGGACAGCTACCCCCACACAGTTGGGTTTATGTCCCAGATCATTTGCTGTTCTTAGACCGTCCTGCATTGACAAGGAACAACTTAGAAACCCAGTAGGGGAAAAGATTGAATCCTTTATAAAATATTGAGAGAGTTATCCGGGGGGCCGTAGACCCAGGACTGAGGCCGTAGACCCAGGACTGAGGCCGTAGACCAAGGACTAAGGCTGTGGATCCAGGACTGAGGCTGTGGATCCTGCTGACCTGTCAGAGCTGTACGTGCACCATCATTTTTATGATTGACAGCCGGGCAGTAACCATAACAGCAGATTTATGAGCGTCATGATTTTTTTCTTCTGGGACGTGTAAATCTGTAACGATAATGAGCTCATGAAGTCAGTGCAGTTCATAAAACACAACAGTTTGAGGTCAGAGATCACTGCTCTGTAGAAGCACCCGACTAAACTTCACCACGTTCAAAAAGGTAGATTTCATTAGATCCATTTAGATGTAAATCCAACATGGTGTGTTCTCATCGGAGGCTCACACACAACAAATGTCTTTGCAAATACCTCTGTTTGGAAGTTAATACGGCGATTACGTTTTAGTCCACCAGACTTGACCAAGGAATCAGGATGGAAAAATGGTTTAGACTGGATTAATTCCGCTCTGAGCTTTATGACTAGCTGTAACAAAGCTGAGGTTGGCTGAATGACAAAGGACCATCTCACCATGAGCTCCTTTAACAGAATTTTGTGACACAATCAAAAACAAACAAAAGCAACAGATGGTTTCCAACATATATTGGTTGAGCTGAAGTTGGCTGGTTGACACTGAAGGGCCACAGAACATGACACAGAGAGCCACATTCATTGGGACATGTCTGTCTTAGGCAGAAGGTGTGGGGGGCGCCACATGAGTGGGATGGAGCTCAAATATTTTGCAACACAAGAACTCCCAGAGCAGTCAATTTGACGGCTTTTAGTTTTGAAAGTGTAAATATTTTCAGTTTCAGGATGGGAGCCGTGAACATGACGAACAACTGTGGGAGTTGGAGAAGTACATGATGTGAAAGAGATTCTCCGTTTAAATGCTTCTTTGTCCTGTCTGTTTGACTTTATCTGCGGCTCACTCCTGTCTCCTGTCCTCAGCCCTCTGTCCTCTGTCTGCTGTGTGTGCGGCCCCTGTCTGTGAGACCCCTGTCTGTGAGACCCCTGTCTGTGAGGCCCCTGTCTGTGAGACCCCTGTCTGTGAGGCCCCTGTCTGTGAGGCCCCTCTGTCAAGTCTGTGAGGCCCCTGTCTGTGAGACCATAATATATATATATACACATATATAATATATATATACATATATATAATACTGTCTGTGAAAATGGCTTACCAAGATGGAAATATTCACATTCCCCGTATTTGTACACACTGCAGGGAATTAATGCAGCCCACAAGCCTGCACCGCTGCCTAAAAACGAAGCCGAGTTAGGCCTTCTGAAGGAACAATTTATGAATGGGAGTGTCCCAGTACTCACCGAGGAGGCGCTCTAAATCCGACAACAGGTCTGAGCAAGCGCAAAAACCCGCAAGTGCAATGTACTCAATGCCAAACAAATAAGGATGGCCCGCACGCCAGCACACGAAGCCAAGTAGATCGCCACGCAGCATGCAGACGCCAGAGGTGAGGAGAGAGACGCGACAGGTGAAACTAGTTCCCGTAATCAAGGCCCTGCCGCAGCGTGATTGGCCACCAGTGGGTATGCGCGTACCACTACATAAACAAGACTTCACAAAACAGATACATTTACTTAACTAATTAAGGATAAAGTTAATAGTAATAATATGACTAATAATAATAATAATAATAATAATAATAATAATAATAATAATAATAATAATAATAGATGAATGCTAATATATGCTTATACTGAATATTAGAATATAAACTCAAATGAATCTCCCCAAACATCCCCTCTTCTGGACCTGCCATGGTTCAGGCCATAGGGTGGAGCCTGGAGGTAACACCCTCAGCTGGAGTGGGTGGAGTCAGCTCACAGGAGTGTGAGCTCCAATTGTGAGGGAGGAGTCAGCCCTCACATACCCCCCCTCTTCAAAAAGTTCACTGTGGCTGCGGGAAACATAGTCAGCGGTGTGGTTCTCCTTTCCGGGAATGTGCTGGACCACAAATCTGAACGGCTGCATTGCGATATACCATCTGGTGATTCTCCCATTGGTGTCCCGCATCTTCTCCAGCCACTGCAGAGCCTTATGGTCTGTCTGCAAGACGAACTGACGTCCCAGCAGATAATACTTAAAGGAGTCCAGCGCCCATTTTATGGCCAAAGCTTCCTTTTCAATGGTTGCATACCGCACCTCCCGGGGGAACAGCTTGCGGCTTATGTATGCAACCGGGTGTCTGTCTTCCGGCGGTCCTTGCAGCAGCACCGCTCCAATGCCCCGGTCCGATGCGTCTGTTTGCAAAACAAAGTCTTTGTCAAAATCCGGACAGAGCAACACTGGATCCTTACTCAAGGCTTGTTGAATGTCCTTGTACGCCGCTATCCTCTCTTCTGTCCACTTCAGCTGATTCGGTTGCTGAGAGCCAGTCATATCTGTCAGAAGTGCCGCTCGAGCAGAGAATTGTGGGATGAAGCGATGATAAAACCCGGCCATCCCTAGGAAAGACCTTAACTGCTTCCTAGTTTGTGGCAATGGACAAGATGCAATCGCTTCAATCTTTTTAATCTGCGGTTTGATTACCCCACCTCCAATTATGAAGCCAAGGTACTGGGTCTCAGCCTGGGCCAGAGAGCACTTTGCTGGGTTTAATGTGAGACCAGCTGCCTTTAGAGCTCCCAGAACCTTTGTCAGATGCTCCAAATGTTCCCCCCAGGTGGTACTGAAAATAACAATGTCATCCAGATAAGCACAGGCATACTCTGAATGACCACACAGTACCTGGTCCATCAATCGTTGGAAGCTTGCTGGGGCGCCATTGAGACCAAATGGCAGAACCGTAAACTCAAACAATCCCCAGGGTGTGCGGAAGGCCGTGAACGCCTGTGACTGCTGTGCGAGGGGAACCTGCCAATAACCTTTGCAGAGGTCAATGGTGGTGAGGTACTTGGCCTTTCCCAGTCGCCCAATCAGGTCATCGACTCGGGGGGTTGGATAACAATCAAACTTTGAGACAGAATTTAAGTACCTGAAGTCTATACAGAACCTGATCGCCCCATCCTTTTTAGGAACCAGCACCACAGGATTACACCATTCACTTTCACAGAAATCACTTTAGTATTTGTACTCTTCTCATCCGTAGATGTTAACGTTTGTCGTGGCACAAAGCACATCTGTGTGAATCTAGCTGGGTTCTTTGGGCACACCGGCTTAGTATGGCCTTCTTCTCCACAAAGATAACAGTGGAGAAGAAGGCCATGCCGAGGTTTTGTTTAACCTCGGCATCAGGTTTGTATGTGGCCCCGTTAACTGACCTTCACTTGAAGGCATTTTACTAGGTGGTGCCCTCTGGTGGTGCGGTGGAGGTAGCTTCCGAGCTTCTCTCCCAGCCTTCCATGCGGTATTGGTCCAGGATTGATTTTTCTTCCGAGCTGCCACAAACACCTCTGCCAGAGTGGCTGCGTCTGAAGCAGTCTTGGGGTCATGCTCTTTAATCCAAACCTGGAGCTCTGGAGACAACATCCTCAAATACTGTTCCATTATAATCAGTTCATTGACATCATTCACAGTTTTGCATTTAGGTTGGATCCATTTCCTATATACCTCTTTCAGTCTTACATAAAGTTCTTTAGGGCTCTCACCTGGGTCAACGCTGAGAGACCGGAACCTTTGTCTGTAGGTCTCTGCATTTATATCATACTTTTGTAAAATACATTTGGTGGCAGCGGTGGGATCGATCTGGTCAAGAACACACCTGTTTTGAGAATTTTTTGTAATTTTCCACCTGGAT